GTCCAGGTGCTTTTCGTTAATTACGGCTAAATTAATCTTGCGATCATCGTGGCAGGATGGGGCTGTCGTACAAAAATCGTACGACTATTTGATCATCGGGCGAAAAGTTTCGTCCGATAATCGTAAGGTGTATGGGCACCTTAACAATGCTTTCACAAATATATATTATTGTTTATTTTTATCAATTTACAAAATGGAAAGTGAGTGAACAGAAGAAACATCTAAATCAAATCAATATTTGGTGTGACTGCCCTTTGGTTTCAAACCAGCATCAATTCTTAAGCTGGCCATACACCTTACAACCATGGCACGACTTTCGTTGTGCGTTGGTTGTGACTAAAATTTCGTACAATCTGCCCATCTTGGACCGGCAGATCGTACTTGCGATCATCGCAAGCCCGCCACGCTGAGGGGAGGGCTTCCGATGATTGCAGTGCTGAGCGAGCAGTGTGCGCTTGCGGCATTAGTCTCCCGAGCACGCCACTAACCCGCCGAAAATCGTACGATTTTCGGCAGGTTTTCAAGTGTGCTCGGAAGACTAATGTCATGCGACCTTACAGTAGAAGAGGTCGCACGCTGCCCATACACCTGCCGATTATCGTACGATCGTGGGATCACCCGCGATTATCGTACGATAATCGGCAGGTGTATGGGCACCTTTACACTTGTACAGTCAGGGATTTTGTAGGATTAGAGTCTGGTGTATGATGCATCAATTATACCGAGCAGGTGCTGCTGATCATCAATTTCATATGTAGGTTGAAACACAATCATTAACTAATACAGAAACAGCTGTGTAGGAGGCTTAAAACTAGGTGAGGAACAGCCAAACTCTGCTACTAAGGTGAGGTTGTGGAAGACACTTTCATGTCACAGGTCATACACCACGGCAAGACTGAGCACAGCAACAAGACGCAAGGTAATTATGCTGCATCAGCAAGGTCTCTCCTAGGCAAAGTTTTCAAAGCAGACCGGGTCAAGATGTGCTGTTTTGATGAAGCTCGAAGAAACAAGCAACATTGAGGACCGTAGACGCATTGGTCGGCCAAGGAATGCAGTAGATAAGACACATCATGCTTACTTCCCTTCCACATAGCAAAATGTCCAGCAGTCCCATCAGCATCAAACTTGCAGAAACCAGTGGGACCCAGGTACACCCATCTAGTGTCTGGAGAAGTCTGTTCAGAAGTGGTCTTCATTGAAGAATTGCAGCCAAAAAGCCATACCTCCGACATGAAGACAAGGCTAAGCGGCTCAACTGCATGAAAACATAGGAATTGGAGTGCAGAAATATGGCAGCAGGTGCTCTGGACTGATGAGTCAAAATGTGAAATATTTGTTCCCTGAAGGGCTGGAGAGCGGTACAATAATGAGTGTCTGCAGCAACTTTGAAGCATGCTGTTGGTTCCCTGCAAGTCTGGGGCTGCATTTCTGCCAATGGAGTTGGAGATTTGGTCAGGATCAATGCTGAGAAATACAAGCAAATTCTTCTCTCATAATGCCATACCATCAGGGAGGCGTGTGATTGGCCACAAATGTATTCTGCAGCAGGACAACGGCCCCAAAAATACAGCCAATGTCATTAAGCCCCCATTCACACCTAGGCGTATTGTAATATGCGCGTCTGTCGCGCGACCGTCACGTGTTTTTTTAACCGCGATTCGCGGTAAAAAAGTTGCGCGACCGTCGCGCGATTACAAAGGCTACTTGCCAGTATCCCAATGGAAAACGCCCTACAAAACGGCCCAAAGTAGTCCCGGGACCTTTTCAGGCGTGGGCCGTTTTGTAGCGCATTAGGGACGGGCGGAAATACGGCAAGGTGGGAATGAGTCCATTGACTCCAATGCAATTTATATTTTTGAGCGTTTTGTAGAGCGTTCTTCGAGCGTAGAACGCGCTACAAAACGTTCAGGTGTGAACGAGGGGTAAGAACTATCTTCAGTGTAAAGAAGAACAAGGAGTCCTGGAAGTGATGGTTGGGTCCCTACAGAGCCCTGATCTTATTATCATGGAGTCTGTCTGGGATTACATGAAGAGACAGAAGGATTTGAGGCAGCCGAAATCCACAGAAGATCTGTGCTCAGTTATCCAAGATGTACCCAGAACAACCTACCTGCCGAGTTCCTTCTACAACTGTGTGCAAGTGTACCTAGAAGAACTGATGCTAGTTTGAAGGCAGGACTCCAAAATGACCAATGGAGGAAAGGGGAGGAAAGTAAGTGTTTTATCAGGCAGGCTGCACTTGGGGGGTTGTTACTAAAAGTGAACTTGTACTTTAACTCTCTCTCTCTCCGGCATCTGTCAAAATCTGCAACACGATTTCTGAGTGGCCGACCTTCAGGTTCACCAACGCTGTATTTTTTTTTTTTTTTTCCTCCCCAGGAAAACCTGACTTTGTTCAGAAACCGATCTTAACTAATTTTCCACTTCATCACGTAAATCTTCTGCCAAGATGTTTTGCAGTGTGTATTGAGTCTCCTAATAAATATTATTCAGTTATACGTGTTAGGGCAGCGTTGCATGTAATTGAATTTGTTTCCAGTGTCTTACTGCCTGCAGATCTCCGTGGCATGGGCTCAGTAAGCTTGGAGGCATTTCTCAGGGAGATTGTGTTACATTCCTGTGCTGTGTTCTGGGTCAGTCCACGACAACGTGGATATTTCAAGTATGAGCGGATGCTGGTTGGCTGGCCTACTGGGACTTTGGGAACTTCAGCAGCAAGAGCCCTTCCCCCACTGTATGTGTGTATGTATTCCCTATGATATCAAATGCAAACAGGGCAGTAAATCTGGCAACACACATTACAATCCAATTACATAATCTCCTTTAGATTTACCAATGACTATGTAGGGCGAGGGCCAACTCAAACAATACATTCAATCAGGGGCGGATTAACATAGGGGCTACTGCCGCGTCAGGTCCAGGCCAAACACTGAAAATAGGCCCGGATTGCCATGATATGCCCGAAGGCAATCTGGGCTGAACAATATCAGGCAGAGGTGCCGGCGCACTCTATTCAAGCATATTAGGCCCCAGCGAGGAGATAGCGGCGCAGCCTCTGCTGCTTTCCGTCCGACGATGCTTTTAATCCGGCTCTGCATGGAATCATATCCAGTCAGGTAGGCCCTTACAATACTTAGCTGTTGACTGATATAAAGGAGATTGTACAATGAGACTGCATGTGGCCGGCTTAAAGCTGAACTTCAGGCCTTTATTCTAGTTAAGCATTCATTAGAAAATCACTGATGGGGTTATTCACAGAAGGGTGAAGAGTTTGGAGAAGGGAGGAGAAGTGAACAATCTAGGACAACATAGGTGAGCTGGGAAGTGAGCTGAATTGGAGAATTTATCCAAATCCGCTATGTTGTCCTAGATTGTTCACATCTCCGGCCTTCCCCAAACTCTTCACCCTTTAGTGAATAACCCTGTAAGTATACTTAATAATATAAGTACCTGAATCTGTTTTGATATTAGCCTCCTATAATCCCCTGAACAGCAGCACCCCATGTGAAAGTGGGAGGGCGCAAAACACTGAGCCAATCAGAGCTATACAGCTTTGCATAGTGCTGTCAATCTCCCTAACGAACATGCTCAGAGGAGGGGAGAGCAGAGGGATGACCTCATTAACGTGCTGTTGCTCATTCGTTATCCTTGCACAGTCTGGGGTCAGGATGGTGACCAAGCTTATTTGTTTGACTGCAGAGGAGAAAGAGAGGTCACCGCCAGCCTAATCATGATGACATATCAGTTTTAAACTGACTGATTTGCCTTTATTGCTAGTGGCCACGTGGGTTGTAGTGTTTTATTTGATTCTTTGAGTTTCTCCACAGCGATTAATAGCGATTAGAAGATAAATAACCAGCAATTCTGATTTAAGAGACCCATAGCCCACACCCATCAGACATGTGTAATTACCCAGCCACGATCCCTTGTCACTAGGGCTGGTAATGATTAAAATTTTCCTGTTCGATTAATCGAAAAACATTTTAATCGACTAATTTCGATTAAATATAATGCACATACAGAGGGGATCTCACCAGGGCTCTGAGGGTCTAACAAGGCTAGACCCCACAGAGCCCTGCTACCCTGGTGAGGCCCCCTCAAAGCTCTGGTGAGACCCCACAGAGCCTTGGTTTAACCAGGGCTCCATGGGGTCTCACCATGGCTTTGTGGAGTCTCACCAGGGTAGCAGATTTCTAACAGGGTAGTAGATCATTGATCATTTTACTGTTTTACATGATACATATTATTTGTCTGCCTTGTACAAACATCTGATGACTCACCGGCCCAAGTGAGTGAGGAGGAGACTCAACAGCCCAAGTGATTCCGTCAGGTAATGAAGGGAAGGGGGAGGAGTCTATGCCCGTGACGTCACCGGACTCCTCCCTCCTTCCCTTCGTTATCCATCACGGACAACTACATCACCCGACTCCTCCCCCCCTTCCCTTCGTTAGCCGACAGAGCCACTCGGGGAAGGGGGGAGGAGTCCGGTGACGTCGATGTCTGTGACGTCACCGGATCTACGACGGAAGACCCGGAAGCCGGCGGAGAGGTGAGTAACTTTGATCGATCAAAATAATTTTGATCGATCATAGAAATTAACGATTAATCGACGGATTAATCGTTAATTTCTGCACCCCTACTTGTCACCTCCCCTGATGCAGCATGCCTGCCTAAGTTCTGGTGTCAGAGCATAGGTCAGAGGTCATAGCAGCCCCCACCATGTGACAGTGTTCATGACTGATGAATTGCTACTGCCATAGGGGAGGTCATGTGAGCCCCCATATCTGAAAGGCCCACTCTATTCGCGATACCTTTAGCAGTATGGGAAGGTGGTGAGGGAGTCAGGCTGTATAGGTGTATGTAGATATGCACTGGCCAGTTGAAATGTTAGTTATGTAGCTGTAATTAGATTTTGTACCAACACCAGCAGAGAAATGATGATGATGATGATTAATGATTTTCTTACACAAATTACATTCAGACCATTATGATTTTACCTTGTCCGTCAGTTCCACATCGCAGTCCAGTCGGGACAAAATAAGCTTGACGATTTCCACGTTTCCCAGCTGGCAGGCGATCATTAGAGCGGATTCTCCATCTTCATCCTGCAAGTTCACATCTGCCCCGCACTCCAGTAGAACTTTTACCATGTCCGACCTGCCATGGCTAATACCGAGCATCAGCGCCGTCTGCCCGCCCTGGAAGACAGATCCCAAGATCAGCTAATACCAAGATCAGCTCTCACACACCATTTATCCCATTTTACCCTCAATATCGCTTCAAGTACCCTTCTAAGTTTTATGGTATAATGCCTGAGGCGACCTGAGACAGGTCTGGAAAGCATGGATCTATAGACGCTCAAGTTAGACAATTAGGGGTATCCCCCAAACTCCAAAATATCTTCAAAGATGAGACCGGGCACTCTGAGAGCAGTAAAAAGGAAAAACAAGTACTGGTAATAACATGGATGTAGAATCTAGACATGTAAGCTGCGGAAAAATGTGGTTTGGTTATTTTGTTATTTCGGGATTCAGATCTGTAAATTCAATTTGGTTCAGGTTTCGAATTCGGACAAAATCCGAATTTTCGTTAGTTTCGGATGAGTTTACGAATATTAGTTGCGAGTACCACAGAAAACCATATACAGATAATAATACTAAAGCTGAAGCTCCTAAACCCGAATGGCATTCAGGATCCGAATTTCTGAATACCATTCGGGAGCTCCAGAAAGCAATAGGGGTCTGGGAGCCATATTGAAGCTGAGGCTTTCAGACCCGAATGGCATTTAGGAGCTCTCGAATGCTATTCGGAAATTCGGACTCCATTCGGGTCTGGGAGCCTCAGTTTTAGTATTATGTATATACTGTATAAGTAGTATTCTATCATATGAACGAATATTCGTAGCGGCAACATTGTGACCCATATACATAAAACTAAACCTGAGGCTCCCACACCCGAATGGCACTCGGGAGCTCCCGTATGCAATTCGAAAAAATCGGATTCAGACCCATTCGGATGCATTGAACCGAAAAACACATCTGATTGGCCAGAAAAGCCACATGTCCGATCCAATTTAGTTTTTGAACGAAATTTGCACGGGATCCAAAATTTGGAAACGGAAATTGGTATTCGGATGCATTAGGATTTGGAGATTTGGATGTGTCCGAATGTCCAAATTTCAGAAAATTCATATGAATTGTGAAACCAATCGCTCATGTAGTAGACACGTTCAGGGCCCATTCACACTATTGCGTTGTGCTAATTGCAATTTAGCGCACCCTTTAGCTCACCCAGTGTGCAGTACCATGTTCTAGACTTGTTGCGTTGCCATTCATTGTAATGGCGCCCTAACTTACCTCCCAGCAGCACCGCAATACAGTGCGTTGCGTCGCAGTGGGAAAAAATGATTGCATGTGCAGGATGAACGGGTCATTTTTTGCACTTGAACAGATATAACAAAGTGCTTTCAATGGTATTTTTAAAGCTGAACTTCGGGATGAACAAATACTGACTACATACAAGAGGCCTGTGTATTCTTACTTGAATCTTGCAGTGGTTTTTTTTAATATCATCAGGTCTCTTTAGTTCTCAACCTGTGGATCACGACCCAGTCGTGCCAGGGGTCGCCTGGGAGTCGATCGAGCAGAGTAACCCTTTCCCTGCGATCTTTTTTGTTTTTTTTTCTCTGACATCGGGGGCCGCCAGCCGCTGTAAGTCAGGGGGAAAAAAAACACCATAGGAATGCATAGCTAGATTCCTATTGGCTATTTCACTTTGCAATAGCCAATCGAAAACTAGCTATTGCACATGCCCTCTGCTGCTGCCAATCAGCAGAGGGGGACCTGAAGTTCTCCATCAGGTCCTCGTCTAGTGATTGGCAGCAGCAGAGGGCATGTGCAATAGCTAGTTTTCGATTGGCTATTGCAAAGTGAAATAGCCAATAGGAATCTAGCTATGCATTCCTATGGGGGTTTTTTTTTTTTTAAATTCTGACGGCGTACGCCAGTGGTTCTCAACCTGTGGGTCGTTGTGTGATTACTGCTGTGCTAGGTGAGAGTCCTCCTCAGCCCACTCCTAGCACAGCAGTGTCAGTTCTCCCGCCACGCCGCCTGATGTCGCTGCAGCAGTCATCCCTAAATTTTACCGTTGGGGGGGGGGGTTCACCAGAACTTGGCAAATGTTACCAAGGGGTCCCGGCCCTAGAAAGGTTGAGAACCGCTGCTTTACAGTACATGCAGATGGAAAAGGTCATTTCTAACAATCGAATGTTCATAGCTGTAACAGTTCGTACATTTCTTGCACAGGTTATCTATGATTTCATACGACTTCTCCATGCTTTCCAGGAAACAAACAATAGGAAACTTCATTTGTGCGAGACTCGCGCACATTTTTCTGTGACGCCATTGTGAATATATTCATATAAATGAGACGACAAAACAAGACCTCAGTGTCTGGGGAAGGAATTCATTATGTGCAGTTACAATCACTATTTGTACTACGGCTGGAAGGAAAAATTTCACATTGTAGATCTGTGAATTATTCAAATCTGCTTCTGCGTTGTCATAGTTTTGCAGAAATTTGATGGAAACTGGCAAATAAAAGGAGGTGCAGCAATAAAGCATACAAATGATGAAATACGTAACATTTCATTTATATATAAAAACGGTTCCTTTAACATAAATGTCCCAGTTTAAAAAAAAAAATGCTCTTAATTACATACTCGCTTTTAAAGAACTAAACATTCCATGGCACACAATGAATGAGATGAAGGAGATAGACGCGCCATGCCACAAGATAAATAGAGTGGCTGGGACCTCCCTAGCCCAGACCGAGGCAGCAATAGAAGACTGATATGGGATTATAACTCTTCCTCACTCCGTCCAGAACAATAAAAGAACATTTGGCTGTAGTTACATTTGAAATGATTGAATGCAGTCTAACAATATATACGCAGTTAACAGTTTATGTGCGATGATACACATATGTTGTTGACATACCTGGCTGGCAGTGAGATTGACATCGCCAAGACTGAGAAGAGTCTTCACAACCTGCATATCGTCTTCAGTTTCTGCTGACGCCAAAGGGGTGAGCATCACGGGAGTGTACCCTGCTTTATTCTGATGGTCAACGTCGCACACTCCTAGTAACAAAGAATGACAGCTTTATAGTTCATCACCCTGCCCGTGTTATATTACTGGTTAATAAATTCTTATTTTAAGCAAAGATGCCCAAATTTAGCAACAATCCACCCCATGTAGTCTTCAGTTTCCACTATTTTGTCATGATAACAGATTTAGATGAGGCGCATGGCGCGTCTATATTTTAGATAAGAACAGGGTAGGCGTTGCTCTCCTGAGAAGCTTACACTATAATTTAGCATTTAGAGAGACCAAAAAAAGCAGATGAGTATAGTAAATGTGGTCTTGTTTGGAGTCTTCAATGGAAAGGACAACAATGGAGGTTTAGATTGTGGTTAACATTAATGGTATCCACCGATGAGTGGCAAAACGACTGCCCATTCCCAAACTCTCCTCAATGTGCATTGCAACTCACCTATTGGGTAAATATGGTGCATGTTATAGAAAAGGAAAGGATGAATGCCCTATTACAGGGGTAGGTAACTAAAAGTCCCATGAGGCATTGCAGGATTGACAGCGACTGGTATGTTTGCCAGAGACATGATAGTATTTGTAGTTTCACCACAGCTGGAGTTCCAAGGTAGCCTACACTGCTTAGGTTGCTCCTGAGCTAGATACATGGCCCTCCTGCTTTCCAGCTCCCTCATCAACTCCTCCCATGCTCACCTCCAGAACTTCTCTAGAGTCTCTCCCATCCTCTGGAACTCTTTATCCCAACCTGTCCGACTATCTCCCACTCTGATTGCCTTTAGGCGATCCCTTGGGACTTATCTCTTCAGGAAAGCCTATCCCACCGCAACCTAACCACTGAACCATCACTTTCTCAAACAATCATCCCCACACAGCTACCTCCTCATGTATCACTGGCCCCTCCCTTTCAGATTGTAAGCCCTCAGGGGCAGGGCCCTCCTTACCATCTTGTCTTGAATTTCATTGTGATTGTAATGTCTTCCTTATATTGTAAAGCGCTGCACAAACTGTTGGCGCTATATAAATCCTGTATAATAATACATAATAGACCACCTGAGGTTTTAGGGGATCCCTAAAACCCCAGGAGCTCTATTATGTTACTATCATCCGTAACTTACATGGCTGAGCTCTGGCAATGTCCTCCCACTCTGTGCACTTTCCTATTGGCTAGTGAGACTACCTCTACCTGGTGGTCAAAAGGAGGCTATAGTGGGTGGAAGGAGGCACCCCAAAGCATAGAGGTTTTGGTTGATTATTGCATATCAGACCACCTGGGTTTGGGAATCCCCGGGTGCTCTGAACATATTGCTTTAGGATAGTTTATGATAGTCCTCCAGTACTCAAAGAACTACATTAAATATGGGGCTGCAGTACAGGGCAGAGCAAAACAAAAACAACAAAAAATGGAATGCACCATATACAAAAAAGGTAAGTGATTTTATTATCGCATGGCACATTCCTACCCGGGTCACCATCCCTTTCTTTCCACAAAATCCTCACACCCAACGGAATCTGTAGAAAAGTTCTTGACATTCACATTTCTAACGTAAAACACTTAATAACCAGGCAGCGTGATATTTTGTGATAGCTGTCCTGTTACTCCTCGCTGACAATCGCTTTCTGTGCAATACATTGATTTTCTAGGCAGGTGGTTGCATACAGCTGAGCACTCAGAGAACAAGTTTCTAAATGTTACCTCCCTGATCAATAGCCGAAATATTGGCTGCCCTCTAAAACACTTTATACTGCATTTCAGAACTTTCCCGCTGACTTTCCTGGGGCTTTACTTCAATTAAGAGCCTAGGAGTTTCACAAAGGAGAAATACCAGGCCAGGGAGCTATGCACATTTTACGATATACAAGGGTACAAATATATGTGTTTAAATTATATCTCAGAAGTCAAAACGGGTAAAATATATTGCCGGGTTGGTCATGCCTATGCACTAAAATCCCATAAACTTTAATGGGATGTACCCAGACCACAGGTGCAACATTTTACTTAAGTCTATGGGACCATAGTGTGCAGGCACAGCCAGCCTGGCACTAGATACATAGGATGCCGCCACCGTCAAAGGAGGTAAGTAAGAAGCTGGGGAGGGGGATATCATCCTTCCTAGGTATTCCAACAATATGCACACTCAATTTTTATGTGATATAATCGCATGCAGTTTGGAACAGATCACTGTCCCTGGAAGCACAATTGATACGATTACATGCGGACTGCCGCTTACAGATGTTACCCGGTCATTAACTTGAGATTGCGGCTGCATCTAAACGGGTTAGTGTAAAGTAACCAAATAAATCATCAGGATTATCAGTAGAAGGATGTGTTTAAAAAAAGTCGTTTGAGGACTGGGGATTTAATTTAAAGGATGGAGTGGGAGATAAAAGATAGACAGGAATGGAAACATTTTTTTATTTATTATTGGTCTTTACATAGCGCCAACATTTTACGCAGCGCTTTATATACTGAACATAGACATCAGTCCCTGACCTCAAGGAGCTTACAATCTAAAGCTGGCCGTACACCTAATGATTATCTGCAGACTTTCTATGGCCAGATTCCATCTACGCTAAACTGTGTGGATGGAGGAATCTCCTGCTGGGCCAAGCTTCAGTGTCTTGCTAGTCGGCCCCGCTGGCTCTCACAATACCTGAACAATGCCTGCGTCCAATAAGATTGTTCAGGTATTTTGACAGCCAGCGGGGCCGACTGGCAAGATACTGAAGCTTGGGACAGTTTAGCATAGAGGTATCTGTTGCACTTTTTTCCATCTGACCATAGAAAGTCTGCAGATAATGTATAGGTGTATGGCCAGCTTTGGCGCTTGTCTAAAACTGGACCTCGTATGTAGGCATGTGAGATAAGGACCTAATCAACCTACCAGCATGTCTTTGGAGCGTGGGAGGAAACCGGAGTACCGGAAGGAAACCCCCCCCCCCAAGGACAGAAAGAACATGCAAACTCCTCTCAGATAGTGACCTGGCCGGGTTTGGAAACGGGGACCCCCAGTGCTGCAACATAGTCTGATATTAAAAGAAGAAGTTGTAGAAAATACAGTAAGCTCATCCCTTGGGTAATTTCAGAAACTTGAATGAGTTGGCAGGCTGTACTATGGATCATAAATGCTATAATTATTTACATAAGTTTGCAGTCGAATACTTCAGAAAACATTTTCTCTCTCTCTCCTCTCGGTTAACATTGAAAATGTCTGTCATTGTTCTGTTAATGACCAGAGGCGGTCAGCGCTCACTATACGGTTGGAATTAGCCCTGTAAAGACCTGGTAGATGACTTATCCCACTCAGTTCAGCCCTCTGTTCCATTTAATTATGACATGCCTGACATTAAGCAGTGGCCATCGGAACAGACGATGATAGGTCCTCCTGTGCCGCGCTATACCTTTCCGGGGGTGAGCAGACTAATGGCTTTTCCTGGCCTCTCCATGTATATATTTGACAAACATGTCCAGATTACTAAAGACATGATGTGAATAAAAAGGACGATAATCTCTCGGTGAGCAAAGTTTGCAGCCTGAGCACAATCTCGACGTCCCAATTGCAATTCTCTGCTTTGTTACCTGATCCAGCACAGATGTCAGTGTGAGGGGTTCCTGCCGCTAGCAGACACTCCGTCACTGTGAGATTGCAGCGAATCACGCTTCAATTAAGGCTGACTGTTTATAAATGCTGAGTGGCAATGATGGGGGATAAATGCTGGATGTGATCATATGCAAAATATCAAATTGCTTCCTTGCAAAGATCCCTTGTTTTCTAGGAAGCCAGTTAGGCTTTCAAGGTTTTCCCCAAAGACCTCTTGAAACACAAAATATTTACATGTCTTCAACTCCATCAGTCTGGAAAAAAAACACAAGTTTATCCTTCTCTTAAAGCGGCAGGAAACTGCCAACTTTAAATGCCCCTAGTAGGTGCATGTGCTATTAAACACAGCATATTAGCACATTATGGGATTTGTAGTTCCACAAAAGCTGGAGGGCTAGAGTTTGCACTAAGGGGTGTATTTATAAAATGTTTGCAGAGCCCTTTGCTCTACGGCAGGGGTGCCCACAATTTTTTGTGTTAAGATCTACTTTTCAAATGACGAGCTACATGAGATCTACCAACGAAAGAAAAACCTCCCTCGCTCTCTCTCTCCTGGCGGTCTCTCCTTGCTCTCTCTCCTCTCTCCTGGCTGTCTCTCTTCACTCTCTTGGCTGTCTCTCCTCTCTCTACTGGCTGTCTCTCCTCTCTCTCTTTCCTGGCTGTCTCTCCTCTCTCTCCTGGCTGTCATTCCTCGCTCTCTCTCCTGGCTGTCTCTCCTCTCTCTCTTTCCTGGCTGTCTCTCCTCTGTCCTGGCTGTCTCTCCTCTCTCTCCTGGCTGTCATTCCTCGCTCTCTCTCCTGGCTGTCATTCCTCGCTCTCTCTCCTGGCTATCTCTCCTATGGCCACTAGATGGAGCCGAGGAGCATAGGAAGTTACAATGCGCCTCAGCTCCATCTAGAGGCCATAATGTGAATGCAAAATTCAGATTTTAGCAGAGACATTGGCTCTGCAAACCTTTTATATATATATACATCCCTTATTGTTTTTTCTCATGGAAAACCCATCACACTCACCCCCCACTGGGCTATTGTATTCAGATCGAAGAATGTCGAACAGAAGGGTGCCAACAAGGCCGCCCACGGAACGAATTTAATCCGGTTCATCAAGAACCAGATGACATTGCTATGCTGTTTGGTAAAAGTATGGCCAGTGTTACGTTATTCCAAAGAGTTCCAGACCAAAACGGATGTTGGAGTCCATCAAAAAGATGAATAATTGTGTTGATCAAACAGCCAATGCGTTTTGGAGGGCAGACACAACCCCCTTCCTCAGGGCTCGAGGGGTCAGGGATGAAAATAAAGGAATGGAGTCAGTGGCTTATTGCAGCCATGGGTATTTCTCCCAAAATCTGTAGATTGGAGGCATTGGTTCATTCCCATTTTCATCGTTTCCAAGCCCCGAGGATGGGGGTCATGTCCGCCCCCCAAAATCCGCTGGCTGTTCGATCAACACAAATATTAAACTTTTTATATGGACTCTGTTTTGGTCTGGTGCTCTTCTCTGTTCCTGAATTGCTCACAGTACCTCCCATTGGAGAATGTCCGCCTTTGAGCTGCCTAACCAGAAGCTAATGAACCACCCATAGAGTGAACTCGATGGACTTGTGTCTTTTTTTAACCTAACTATGTAACCTAACCCAGTGGCGTCACAAGGGGGGTGCGGCCCGCACCCAGGTGACACCATTGGAGGGGTGACACCAAAATGACTGACAGTCATTTTGGTTGTCACCCCCTCTGAAAAGTCGGACACTCGGTTATGGACAGAGAGCCCCACAGTTGCAGGAGAGAGGAGGGGACTGGCGGCATACCTCATCCCGCTGGGTGAATGTCCCCTCCTCTCTCTGCCGGCATCCATCACCAAGATGGCCATCGGCAGGTATCACAAAGATGGCAGCGCATGCACACGCGATGACGTCACAACGGGGTGTCACCTGGTATCTGCTCCAGGTGACACCCAGCCGCGGGACGCCCCTGTCCTAACCCTAAGGTCTATTATAAAGGAAAGTGAGAGACTCCTCCCAGCGCCTCTGATATGTTCTCACATATTGAAGCCTTAGCATTACGTCCACCTTCCCTCAGTAAAAATAGTGAAATAATTGTGGCACTGAAAATGACGGGTCCACTTTAATGACATGGTGGAAAATTAGCCTCACCTGTGTCCAGGAGGAGACTGACGATGGCGAAGTTGGAATGCGACACGCTGTAATGCAGGGCGGTATTCCCGTTTTCGTCCGCGATGTTGACCACCATCTGCAGCAGCTGGGGGCTGATCGATCTGATCTCGTCTAGATAAACAGACACCAGATCCGGGGATGACGACTTCTGGCTGGAGACTCGGAACCATTCTTGGCAGACGGTGTACAGCGTTTGCCTCTGCAACATCGCAACGGTTATTATTAGTTACCGTCCGTGGGCCAAACCATGATGTGTATCGCCAAACAATGCAAAGGATAACCACAAGCGAGAAATAACTGCGGCACGGCATTCTGAGAGATTCACCATCAATCAGCGGTTTATTGCATCTGCGGAGGACATCTCCCCGGGGCTCATTCAGATGTTTATACTGAAATTCCCCTCAGAGCTCAGATAGAAGAGGTGTGAGATGAGGTCGCGGCAGAGATCTGGAGCACATGAGGGCCTTGGCTCCCATAGACTATTCATCTTGATTTATACACTAAGCCCTATGTAAATAAATGCTCCGAGAGCTTCGCTGCTAATCCTCTGCCTCATCAGCACTCAGATTAAAGCTGAACGCCAGACTTCCCTTCAGTCTTCTATCTGACCTCCGTCCTTCCCTTCAGTCTTCTATCTGACCTCCGTCCTTCCCTTCAGTCTTCTATCTGACCTCCGTCCTTCCCTTCAGTCTTCTATCTGACCTCCGTCCTTCCCTTCAGTCTTCTATCTGACCTCCGTCCTTCCCTTCAGTCTTCTATCTGACCTCCGTCCTTCCCTTCAGTCTTCTATCTGACCTCCGTCCTTCCCTTCAGTCTTCTATCTGACCTCCGTCCTTCCCTTCAGTCTTCTATCTGACCTCCGTCCTCCCCTTTAGTCGCCTATCTGACCTCCGGCCTTCTCTTCAGTCTTATATCTGACCTCCGTCCTTCCCTTCACTCTTCTATCTGACCTCCGTCCTTCCCTTTAGTCGTCTATCTGACCTACGGCCTTCCCTTCAGTCTTATATCTGACCTCCGTCCTTCCCTTCACTCTTCTATCTGACCTCCGTCCTTCCCTTCAGTCTTATATCTGACCTCCGGCCTTCCCTTCAGTCTTCTATCTGACCTCCGTCCTTCCCTGCAGTCTTATATCTGACCCACAGCCTTCCCTTCAGTCTTCTATCTGACCTCCGTCCTTCCCTGCAGTCTTATATCTGACCTCCGGCCTTCCCTTCAGTCTTCTATCTGCCCTCCGTCCTTCCCTGCAGTCTTATATCTGACCTCCGGCCTTCCCTTCAGTCTTCTATCTGCCCTCCGTCCTTCCCTGCAGTCTTATATCTGACCTCCGGCCTTCCCTTCAGTCTTCTATCTGCCCTCCGTCCTTCCCTGCAGTCTTATATCTGACCTCCGGCCTTCCCTTCAGTCTTCTATCTGACCTCCGTCCTTCCCTTCAGTCTTGCACAGTTGTATCGGCTCCTCTCCTGGACTGAAATGGCTTCCTCTGATATCACTGCACGCTGCGAGCTTCTCATAATGTGCATTAGAAGTCAGATAGAGCCGCCTCATTTCCTGGCTGGAGGACGTCCAGCATAATCTAGCACTTTACTCCCCAGCCTGACTGTCCCTGGCCCCGTCCCTTTTTATGGATTCCAGTGCTGTTATTCATCAAGGCTCAGCATCACATGCAGGCATTACCTAGGAATGGGTGCATGCAAATACTGCCTGTCTAGGAGATTTCCTCTTACTTCCTGTCAAATCTCTCAAACTTGGACGTGGACAGAAACATACTTTTAGTAGAGTGGGGAAAGGTCAGGAGGTTTCATAATGGGTTTTATTGCTTCCCATAGCTTCCTGTCCTAGCCACAACTGCACCCTTTTTTTTGGACAGGCGTCAGCAGGACAGGAAATGAGGCAAAATCCTCTTATGGGGTCACAAAAGTAAAAAACAAGACAAAAAGTTTAACTCTTCTCCACTTTATTCTATACAAATATGCTCAGCGCTAGCTTAGCCCAAACTAAAGAAAGGTTCAATTGGAGTTCTGCATTAAAGCCCGACTCTGGGCTAATCTTTCATGCTGCAATACTCACATTCAATTCGGAGCTACACCCCACAGTCAGGGCCGGATTTTCCACAAAGCCAACCAAGGCCCAGCCTCGGGGCAGCAGGGAGTAGAGGGGCAGCAGGGGTGTGGAATTCCTATCTCCCGATGCCCGAGACACGCAGGTCCGGACACCAGACGGGTAGTTGTTTTCTACATTTAGCCCGGCTTTGGGCAAGCAGAGCTAAATGTACAGCGGGGAAGCCGACGCTTGTTTTCTACAAGTGATCTCAGCGAGGTTGCTGAGATCACTTATATGCAGCCTGCATGCAGGGGGGGACATTGAGAAACCTGGCATTGGGGCAGCAGAGAGAGTAAATCCGGGCCGGCCCACAGTACCTCCTCTGCACCACAAGATGTCATCAGTCTTCCATGTTAAATGGCGCCCAGCATCTCGCTAGACTGAGGATAGATTGTGAGTGCAAGGCTTTATAGGCCAGTCCCCCAAGGGGGCGTTCACTACGTCGCCGTTCATTCACAGTGTACTCATGAAGAAACTTGAGATACCATCATCGTGCCTCTGCACAGAGGGGACACAAGGGGTGAATTTGGGGGGAACGGAGCACAAAGCCCAGAGTTGGGCTTAAAAAAGTTAGGTGCATTGCAGTAGGGCATATGGAGGGTGTGTTTAAAATGGAGCTGGACACTACCATTTCTAACTTAGAAGTGGCAGGTTCTCTTTAAGCTATGTGTTGGAAGAACTGAAAGTGTTAGGATCCTGGG